ACTGTGATGGTGGGGAGGCTGGACCCCAGCAGTGGCTCAGTGGTTGCAGTCTGCTCCATGTCCCAGATACCAAGAGAAAGGTTTTTCTCCCTAATGATGACAAAATACACTTTAAATATCCTGACTTTGTAACTGGCTCCCAAGGGATCCAGTCAATTATTTTGTGTTTCACTTAAATAGAAGAGTGTGAACGGGGTCTGCTTATTGAAGGAGGCTGAAAAGTGAATTCATCACCCCGAAACTCAGCTTCTAAAAGGGGCAAAAGGTTCTTATCAACCCTAGGTGCAAGGCTGTGAATTCACTGCGTATAGTCGGGTCTGAACAGCAGATGATGCTTCTACCTCTGCTTGCCCTGCAGTCAAAAGGTGACAGCTTGATTTCCTTCCCCAGGCAGTGTGGAGCCCTCCCGTACTTGAGAGGACTTTTATCTCTCCATGGAGGAGAGAACTCTTGTTGCTGAGTCATTTTCTCTTTCTCATCTGCCACTGTAATTGGGAAGGCAAAGGAGCAGCGGAGGCTGAGTTTTGCCTTCATCTCTCCCTCATCATTCCTCTCCTTCCTCCCGTCTCCCTCCCCTTGATGTGCAAAACCACTTTTCACTTCAGAAGCTGCTGTGCTGGGTAGTGGAAAAGAAAACAAGCCCCTTGTAGCTTGTTACTCTAGACTAAAGCTGTATTTTCTGCTGTGCCTTCCAGCTCACGCTCCTCCACAGCAGGAAATGAGGGGATGCTGGAGAGACCTTTAGGAAGAGGAAAGAGCTTAATTACACGAATAAACCCATTTGTAGGTGTTCTTGAGCCTTGGAGGCCCTGACCTGGCAGACCAGGGTAGAAAGTTGGAGCCTGTTGGCTTGTTTGCAGTTAATGGGAGATGATGACCCGTCCTGGTGGGCTGGGGTGATGTGCATCCTGTACATTTAGATGCTGCAATGCAACGTGCCTCATTTAGAGGCATTGAGCCTCAGCATTTTCCCTGTGAATATTCGACTTTGCCGAAGTAACTTCTCTTTCAGATGAGAGCATACACAGGGTTTGGGTAGCTTGTGGTTAAACACCAATATCTGGCTGGCTGGACACCATCACCTGGTTAGGGGTGGTTTTTCAAGCTGTTTCTATGAGCTGTTGCCTTTACTCTTACCATAACGCTGTATTGTGTGGTGTTTGTGTTGCGTGAGGACCTTTAATGTTCATTATCTCGTCCTCTACACCCTCATGTGGTCCCCAAAACCTGGTTTTCCCTATGTAGTGCTTGGAGTTGTGAGTGTCCACCCCTTGTCCACAGTTTGGCCTTTGTTTCCTGTTGTGGCATCCGACATGAAGCATCTCTCCAGCAATCCCACAGACCGGTGTCCGTCTGAATTCCCTTTGGTTTGTGTCCTGCAGTTGTTGTCTTGGGTACCTGCCCATGGGGATGCTGAACCGAGGGGTGCAGGAGAGGAGCAGCCATGGGGAGCACTGTGACCTGCACACAGGCCAGTCAAATACCGACTAGACCAGAGCCCATGGTGGTTACAGGCATCATTCCTGGGCTCTGGTGAGTCCCCATCCTGCCCTTTCCATTACAGATGATCTTTGCTCAGCGTGGAGTGGGGTATTTTCTTCCTTGGTACAAATCATCTCTGCTGGTTTCTGGGTCGATGTGTAAGCGCCATGCTGTACATAAAGGAATGAGTGATACAAGGAATATTCCAACTGTAGTTATGTTGTATGTAATGTACATAAGGAGAGAATGTATTTTGTTCATTTTTTTTTCTTAATAAAAATGTATATGCCAGCAGGGCTGTGTGAGATCCCTTCATCCTGACTGCTTGATGCATCCTTCGGGAAGAGCGCCTGGAAAGCTGCTCATGGAGAAGGACCTGGGGGTGCTGATGGAGCATGCTCCAGGCAGCCAAGAAGCCCCCAGCATCCTGGCCTGTATCAGCACCAGCAGGGCCAGGGCAGGGATTGTGCCCCTGCACTGGGCACTGGGGAGGCTGCACCTTGAATCCTGTGTTCAGCTCTGGGCCCCTCACTCCAAGAGAGGCATTGAGGTGCTGGAGCGGGGCCAGAGAAGGGCAGTGGAGCTGGTGCAGGGCCTGGAGCACACGTGTGATGGGGAAGGGCTGAGGCACCTGGGGGGTTCAGTGTGGAGAAGAGAAGGCTCAGGGGGGACCTGATGGCTCCCTCCAAGTGCCTGAGAGGAGGATGGAGCCAGGAGGGGCTGGGCTCTGCTCCCAAGGAACAAGGGATGGGACAAGAGGAAACGGCCTCAAGCTGCACCAGGGCAGGTTTAGATGGAGCTGAGGAACAATTCCTGCCCCAGAGGGTGCTCAGGCATTGGAACAGGCTGCCCAGGGCAGGGCTGCAGTCACCATCCCTGCAAGTGCTCACACAGCGTGGAGACGAGGCCTCAGTGCCATGGGTTAGTGGTGGCCTTGGCAGTGCTGGGGTAAGGTTGGACTGGATGAGCTTAAAGGGCTTTTCCAATGTGGTTGGTCCTGTGATTTTTAAGTCTGTGAAAGCCTTGTTAGAGGTGTTGTCAGCCAGGAGGTGGGTTATGCCTGAGTGGCTGTCACTGTTGCTGCTAGAGGAGCCTCCTGTGTCCCTCCATAGCACAGAACAGCTGAGAAAAAAAAACCCTGTTCCCTGCAATCATGGATGGGCTGGGGCAGTGTCCCATAAATCCAGCCTGTGCTGAGCAGCTGCAAGGACTTAATGAGGAGGAACACAGAACACAGGGTGGTGCAACCCATCAATCTTTAATCACAGACTGGTTTGTGCTGGAAGGGGCCTTAAAGCTCCTCCAGCTCCAACCCCTGCCACAGGCAGGGACACCTTCCACTAGAGCAGCTTGCTCCAAGCCCCTGTGTCCAACCTGGCCTTGAACACTGCCAGGGATGGGGCAGGCAGCCCTGGAATGTTGATATTTGAATCACATCATTTTTTTTTTCTTTCTTTTTCTACTTCCTTTGCGTAAGTGGGAACTTAACCTGGGTCCAAATGTTTTATTTTGGGCACTTAAAGGTCAATGGAGCTGCTGAACTGTCCACGCTGCTGCTGGAGGGGATCCTGCTCTTGCCCTTGGTGTCCCTCCTTCACCAGGGTCTTTTGGCTTAGGGGTTTGAGGTTTGATTCCCTCCTCTACAGCATGACCCAAGTGTAAGGAGGGGCTGCAGGCTAGGTTTGAGTAAGGATGAAGTTCAGAAACAAGGGCAAGATCCTTCCCTTCCCTCCATGGGCTTAAAGGCACCAGTAAATGAAGCAGATGCTCTGGTCATGGTGGGGCTGCTCTCACCCCCATCAAGTGAGCCTCCCACCCCTCTGAGCTTTCTGTGTTTTGAATTACGAGACGTTTTCCACCACTATCTTACTTCCTTCTGCATGGGAAATCACAGACAGGTTTGGGTTGGAAAGGGCCTTAAGCTCATCCAGTTCCACCCCCCTGCCATGGGCAGGGCTGCCTGATACCGTGTCATCCAGAGCACAAGTCCTTCCTGCATCTGAAGGACTGGGTTGGGTTTGCTCCTTTTCCTCCTGTGTTTTCCCCATATTCTTTGCTAGGAGAAGCCTGCAAGCCCCGTGCTGTGTTTCCGGAGCTCAAACCCCATCCAGTGGCAACACCTCCATCACTCAGCCAAGAAATGAACCTTTTACATAAGAACGTTTATTGACAGAAATACATGATGCTTTCAAAATATATTTGTAGGAAAATGCAAGAATAATCTCTACAATCCAGTTCCTCAGTGAATTCCAGTGTAAATCAGACTCCTGTCCCCGTGAGAGATGCTGCTATACAGTACGTAAGAGCTCTAGTATATGTGCAAGGTTCAACGGGTAGCCGCCTTTGGGAAGTAGGTTCTCCTTCTGCAGTCCCTTATGGATTATGTCTTCTCCTGTCTGTCTTCTGTAGGCAACAACAGTCCTGGGATCAACCTCATGGCACTGTGAGCGGGAGATAAATGGTGCTGAAGTATCGACGCGTTCCATGTGAATCTGAAGATAGAAAAGTCTCTTGCGAGGACGTCTGAGCTGCTTGTAAAGCTCCCACTGGGAGGTAAGAGCAAGCAGCTCTTTGTCCAACGTGTTGGGTGTTAAAGCTGGTTTGGGGGAGAGAAGAGGAGCGAGGGGGAGGGAGGAAGGAAATGCTGGGATAGGTTTGTTTTACCTGTTATTTTTGGTCTAAATGTTATGGCTACAGCCTATGACGGGAAGGATTAAGGCCAAAGATGCTCAATTACTGCATTTCCTACCTGTTTATGTCTCCTTTTTGATCCCAAAAGAGAATGTTCTCAACATAAAAAACATACTGGTTTTTTCTTTCTTTTTCTCATGGAAATAGTTCTTTAAATAGGGGGAAGGAAAACTCTACTATAAAATAGCAGTGGTTAAAAAATACGGTGTCTGGAAAAATAAATAAATGTACAATTCCCATTCAAATAGAAATCACTGAAAGCACTTGCTGAGCAGTCAACGTCTCCACTGGGCTCTGCAAGGAAAGATCTCAGCTTGCTTCACCTCAAGCCTTGTGAAGGTTTCTCGTGGCAAGTCTTTGGACCTGATTCATTAAAGCACTTTGGCATCTCTTTGCTGGGAAGGGGGATCTTTAGGCACGTGCCCAAACGCCACTGCCTGGAGATGCTCCGCCAGGGGCATCCCTACAGCAGCTCCTGTGGCCAAAACCCCATCCTTTGGCTGCATTCATCCCATGCCAAGGGCAGGAACACGAGGTCACCGTGTTCCTTGGGGCAACAGGGAAGCGAAGGCGCTCGGAAAGCAACTGCAAATGCCAAGACCGAGGTTCTTTGAGCCTTGCTGCAGTGCTAGAGGTGAACTTGGTGCTGCTGTGGCACAGGGTTACATGGGCAGGAGGTGTTTTCCTGCTTCGTGTTGAATTGGAGCCCCTCCCAGACTGGCCTTTAGCTTTTTCTTTCCTTATTTGTTGCCTTTTAACCCCCCTCCCCTCCGGAAGGACTTCCCCACAGTGCAGGGCAGGGGTAGGTGACGGGTGCTGAATACATCGCTGATGAGTAGCAGGACTATATACGTACAAAAATATATAGGTTTGAACACTTCAAACTCACTGCCCTTCGGTGCAGGAGAGAAGGGAGAAGAGCCAGGCCCTTGGAGAAGACATCCTCCATCAGCTTCTGTCCCACCACGACCCTCTCCTTCACGTGTATTCCCAAGGACCAAATCGATCCCTGTTTCTCCAAGCTTTCCATTGCTCAGCTCTGCTTCTCCCCTCATTCAGGGCAGCCATGGGAGCAGATCCCCATCGTGTTGACTTGGTGGCAGAGCCCGAAGGGAATGGGGTGTTGTGCGTTGGTGAATGCCTGGTTTATGGCAAGCAGGGGAAAGGAAAGGCCGTGCTCAGGCATTGCTCTTCATCTGCAGGCCCTGTGGCTTGCAGAGGGCTTGGGACCACCACATCCTCCTGTGTTGGTGGATGCTCTCATCCAAATGACCTTCCCATCCTCTCCTCCCTTTCCTATGTGATAAAGGATGGAGCCCTGTGCTGATCCCTGCCTCTGCCAGGGCTGAGCTGCTTCCCCAAATCCAGAGCTAAGGTGGGAAACTCTTCCCATCCTTTTAGAGCCATTCAGGAGCTGTGACGGGGAGTTAAGAAACTGGGAACAGCCTCAGTCCAACCACTTCCTGCTCCTGTGTATTCTTCTTTTCCCCTCTAAAGCAAAGGGAAACCTGGACAACAGACCAAGGGTTGCAGGACAAGGCTCAGTCTCAGCTTTGCTGCTGGTCTCTTGTTTTACCAGCTACTGAAGCAGAGCTTGAGGGTGTGGGCTGAGCTTCTAAACTGAGCACCAAGGGCTGTACCAATGGAAAACCCGCAACACCACCAAGCTACCCGGCTCGTGCTGCTGTTCTTTTCCCTCTTCTGCTGCTCATGCAGGAAAACATGACCACAAGAACCACAAACCATCGTGGTGCACGTAACCCACGGCCTCAGGGGAGGATGGATGTGGGCTCTGAGATGCTGCTGTGTAATGACTGGAAGGCAATCAACACTTCTGGAGGGGAATGCAGTAACAGAGTTAGACTCCTGCACCAGGAGTCATGGAATGCTTTGGGTTAGAAAGGACCTTAAAGCTCCTCCAGTTCCAACCCCTGCCACAGGCAGGGACACCTTCCACTAGAGCAGCTTGCTCCAAGCCCCTGTGTCCAACCTGGCCTTGAACACTGCCAGGGATGGGGCAGCCACAGCTTCTCTGGGCACCCTGTGCCAGCACCTCAGCACCCTCACAGGGAAGAGCTTCTGCCTTGTCTCCAACCTGAACTTCCCCTGTTTCACTTTGAACCCATCACCCCTTGTCCTATCACTACAGTCGCTGATGAAGAGTCCCTCTTTGACACCCAGAACCCCCAACCTTGTGCGTTGACCAGTGACCAGGCATCACTCTTGGTTTCATTTCGCCCTTCCTCAGAGGAATGAGCTCAAGGAGTTATTCCTTTTCCTCTCCCTTCCCTTTGCATCAATACAAGGAGCTGCTGTGCCTCTCCTGGTCTCCTACTGTGTTCAGGATCCATCCCACAGGATGGAGCATCCCTTGGCACTGCTGCATCCCTCCCTCCCATCCAACCTGGTCTGGATGTGTTCATTTGCCTATGGCACAACTCAGGCTCTTGTGCGTTTCAGCCGGCAGTTTATGGGGAGAGGATGGAAACCGGATTAAAACTCAAGGAACAGGCTGATCTATACTCGATACCTGGGTGTTGGGAGGGCAAAGTGACAACTAAACGGCATGGGCTGGAGGACTGCCTAGCTCTACTTGCTCTTGGGACATGTGCTCCCTCTCCCACCCTATTGACATCTATTTCTCTTCATCTCTGAGTGATTCGGTAGCTGGAGGATGCAGTTGGTGTGGTTGGACATGGGATGGGAGGGGACACGCTTGGAGGAGACACCAGCAGCTCTCCTGGAGCAAAGCCACCCCGTGAGCCCATGCCTGGTGTGGGAGGTCCTGCTGAGCACCCACAGGTGATGGAGATGCTTGTCCAGATGTGGCCACCACAGTGGCTTGTGTTGACGATGCGCCCCAGAGGTGTCTTCTCGTGTCCCTTCTTCTTCCATGGCACAAGGGGCCATGATGAGTTCATGAGTGGATTTTTATGAGGTTTATTGGGAATTCCGCCTTGTTTTGGAGTTGTGTGTGTGCGTGCATGTAGGAATTGTGGGCTTCTTTTGGGGGGGTTGGTGGTTGGTTGTCTGCTTGCTCGAGTTCTGCATCCTATAGATGCGTGTCCTCCTCTTCCTCCAGGTCCTCCTTCATTAGCGTGTCGAGAGGCACGATCCAGCTGTCCCCCAGCTCCCCGTTGAGGTTCACCTTCTTCTCCTGCATCTCGGAGGAGGTCTCCATCACCTCCAGCGTGGGGTTGTCGTGGTACCCATTCTCCATGGTCTGCAGCTCCTCGGTCAGGCGCTGCTGCGTGGAAAGAAAACCAAGGAACCCCAATGAGGAACAGCTTGGCCGTGCTGTGTGTGCCACCTCGGGGCTGTCACCCGCCAGCTTACCATGACCACTGCCCCATATGGATGGATATAACCACATATAGAGCCTTTTGTGGTGAGGTTGAGGCTGGGGGCTGCGGTCAGTGCCAGCGCAGCGAGGGGATAGCATGGAGCTGGCAAGAGAGAGACTCTGCTAATGGTGGAAGGGAGGAAAGAGCAGCCAGAGACGTGTGGAAAACCTCCAGGAGCAGTTGCCAGCTTCAGCCTGGCCATGGCTTGGTCCCCGCTGGACCTCGGGAAGAGGCTGAGCATCGTTGCCTCACCCCAATCCTGCATCCCAGCTCCTGTACCCTTACCTACACTCTGTTCTCTCCCTCCCCTTTATGCTGTCCTTTTCTAGCTGCTTTATTGTTATTCTCCCCCTTGACCTGGGGCAAGATGCTGCCGGCCCATTTGCCCCTCCATAAACCACATCCCTCCTCGTTCTGGAGCTCATGGTGGAAACCAGGCAGGGAGAGATGAACCAGGCCCTGTGTCACCCTCATCCTCCGGTACACCATGCTTCAGGCTCCAACCCAGCCCTTCAGCCTCTGGTCCTTCCTAACTCTGCATTCACCACTATGGCTTCTTCATGCCCATCCTGCCCTGGAGCGATTCACCAGGGAGCTGCAGTCCTTGGTCAGCCCTTTTTGGGAAGCACAGGGCTCTCTGTGGGGCACCCCTGTTAAATTCCACCTGAATTCACAGCTTGATTCATTACAGCGCTCCTAATAAATGTCAGGAGACAGGAATGGGAGGGAATCCACGGAGAAGGAAAGGGATGGAGAAGCAAAACTGCAGCTTTGGCACTAGCAGAGGGGGGCTGCAAAGGTGCTGCGGGGGATCCCCTGGGTCCCTTTTGGCCAGGGACGATGGGATGCTCGAAAGCTTTTAAGGGGCTGTTTCACCCCATGGAGATGCTGGTACCCCAGCATGGATGGATGCTCAGTCAGCGCTTCCTCCCACCATGGCAATGCACCCCCCACAGCGTGCAGCAAGGGGAAGGGGTCTTTAAAGCTGGGCTTTAGTAGGCTTTAGTCCTGTTAAAAGCTACTGGATCCTACCAAGCACCGGGGGTGAGAGCTGGGGTGTTATGGATGCGGCGCCCACCCCTCCGATCCCTGTGTTGGAACTCACATTAAAGATCAGGGCCACATGTCCATCATCAAACCCGGGGAGATCAGGGTGGATGTGCTGGTTATTTCCAAGGTAAAACAGGGTTTAAAAGGGGGGAGGGAGGGAGGGAGGGAAAGGGTTGGAGAAAAATAAAAATAACAAAAAACTTTCAAGTCATTTTTTTGGACAGAAGCAGGAGGAAAACCAAAGAAACCACCCAAAAGCAAACGCAGAGAGGAGAAAGGGGGTTGGTTTGTCTAAAAACCTTTTCCTATGGTCTGAGCAAGAGCTGTGCTGAGGAATCATAGGTTAGGGTGGGAAAGGACCCTGTGATCATCCAGTTCGAACTGGCAGCCCCTTGATTTGGTTTTGATACCCTACTCTCTGGCTGGCCTCCAGAGCATCCACCAGGGCTGGGACCTGTTCCTCCGCACCATGTTACATGAGGGGCACACATTCCCATCACTAACATTATCCCATTTCTGGCTGTGTTCTGAACAATACATGGAAAGAACAGTGTTGTGTTTCTCCCTGTCCTTGCTGGGATGGTTTTCTCCCTGATCAGGGACATTTCAGGCATGAAACCACATCAGCTCCAAGGGGACCACAGCGGAGGTCAAACATCTACCGAGGTCTTGCATCCTTTCCCATTCCCTCCCCAGAGCATCAAGCCTTTTAAACCCAAGACTGACGCTGCATCCATTTCCTCTTTGCCTCCTGTGTTCACCTCTTACAGTGCGAACGCTTAAAGCAAAGGCTGCTTTATCCTTCGGCATCACACAGCTCCTGGGGCTGAGGTTGGGACCCCATGGGGAGGATGAGCTGGTTTGGGGGGAAATGACTTGAAATGCAGGGGTTTGCTTCTCCATCGGGAGGGTGGATAACCCTGGTTTGGCCTCATTTCTGCCCAACTTTCTGTTGCTGTCTCCCCTCTGGAGCTAAATCCTCAGCAAGAGCAGCAGAGGCTGATGCAAACCTTGGTTGTGTGGCAGAGCTCTTCCTACTCGCATGGGAATGGCCAGTCCTTGCAGGTGGATACTGCACTAAAATCACCCAAAACTGCTTCCTAAGGTAACAATTGTAATGATTGGGGTTTTTTTCCATGTCTGTTCTTCCTTAAATCCCGCTGCTCTGAAACTGGGCTCTGGTCCAGGTCTCCCAAAGGCTGAAGCGTGCGGTGTTGATGCCCTCCTGTGGCTGCTGTGCAGCCGCCCTGCACCCAGCCCCGGCACCAATGGGGAGGAACTGAGGTGGTGCTGGGCATCCAAAACTGCTCCCCTACTCATAGAAGTATTTTAAGGGTTTTTTGGGGGGTTGGGAAAGCCTTTCTCGTTGAAATTATGACCCAAAGATGCAGCTCCCCCACCCTGTATGTTGGGCGGCAGCAGGGATGGGTGCTGCTGGTTTTCATCCTGCCTCAAACACCCCCAGAGAGCAGTTCCTGCCCCTCCAGAGCACCCACAGCATTTATCATAGGATCCCAGACTGGTTTGGGTTGGAAGGGACCTTAAAGCTCACCCAGTTCCAACCCCTGCCACAGGCAGGGACACCTTCCACTAGAGCAGCTTGCTTCAAGCCCCTGTGTCCAACCTGCCCTTGAACACTGCCAGGGATGGGGCAGCCACAGCTTCTCTGGGCACCCTGTGCCAGCGCCTCAGCACCCTCACAGGGAAGAGCTTCTGCCTTATCTTCAACCTGAACTTCCCCTGTTTCACTTTGAACCCATCACCCCTTGTCCTGTCACTACAAAAGAACAGGACTTGAGCACCCCTTGAGCAACATGCAAGGACGATACTCGCTGGACAAGCCAGGATGTCTCTACCAGCAGAGATGGTAGCAGGGATGATCTTCATCTGAAGATGCCACCGAGTCAAAAAGCCCTCACGGTCCCCATCCCACCCCTATCCCGCCGTACCTGGTCCTTCTTTTGGGAGAAGCGCTGGTGGCAGCAGCCGTAGATGGCAGCGATCAGCAATAGGGAGCCAGCCAGGGTGACGATGGTGATGATCAGGGGCGTGCTGAACTCATCGGTGATGACCATCTCCCTCTCCATTCTGTCATAGGTGATGTTGGCGATGCCGAGCTGCCACAGAAAGGATGCGTCAGGCCTCGAGGAGGACTTCCTGCATCACCCACCCCGAGGGATGTTCACAGGGAATCCACGTACCTCCTCTAACTTGTCCTTCTTCTCCTTCAGCTCCTCGAGGACTTTTTCAGGGTCCAAAGGGACTGGGGGAAGAAAGAGGCTGCAATGAGCATTAGGGGAGCGGGGCAGGTTGTGCCCCCATCTCTCAGTCAATGGGTGACCCTCATTCTGGAGGAGGTGGATGGAGATGTGCATGACTGAAGCCAACTCTATCAGGTATCTCCAATGTTAGACAAGGAGCTGAGACCTCTGGTCCTGGAAATGGGATACCAGTCCCCAGCCCCGGGCTGTGCCCACACTGGTGGGGGTCTCCAATGGGCCATTTACCAGTGAGACCTGTGAGGGGCTGTAACCAGCTACTTGAGGCCATGATGAAGTGGTGCAGGATTAGTCCTCAGCACCCTACTGCCCTGCTTGTGACTGGGTACTGGAGGCTGGACACTCCCCCCCCAGCCCTTGTTCTGATGATGAGGAGGATGGAGCTGAGTCCTTCCTCCCCCTCCTGCTACAGCAGTGTGATGCCTGCATCTTCCCAACACCCTGGTACTAAAGGAGTGTTTGAGCACCCCTGTCCAAGCTGGATTTCCCCAAAGGGCTCCAGCGTGGGCAAGAACCCCAGGCTGGTTTGTGTTGGAAGGGACCTTAAAGCTCCTCCAGTTCCAATCCTTGCCACGGGCAGGGACACCTTCCACTAGAGCAGCTTGCTCCAAACCCCTGTGTCCAACCTCACCTTGAAGTCTCTATAATCTCTTGGGGAAGGATGTAATGTGGACACTGGATTTAAGCACTTTGGGAGGAATTTTTCCTCCTGGAGACTGCTCCCTGCCTTGACTCATCATGGATGAGAGAGCAATCTGATGCATTCACTGGGGAGCAAATCATTGCTGAGGTCATTGTGCCTCTCCAAATCCATTAAGGATAGGGCAGCCCAAGGACAGGAGCCCCTTATCTAAGATCCAGGATACCTCATTCAAGGCCAGGTTGGATGTGGTTCTGGGCAAGCTGCTCTAGTGGAAGGAGTCCCTGCCCGTGGCAGGGGGTTGGAACTGGGTGAGCTTTAAGGTCCCTTCCAACCCAAACCATTCCGTGATTCTATGACCCAAGAGCTGTGCCAAGCCTCAGGCCGCATCCCCACCCCAGTGTCCCCAGTCCCATCCCACTCCATGCAGGATCCTGGGATCATACTCACTGTGTATGACTGCGTGCACAGCCCAGTGCTGGGAGCGGGGCTCGCGCGCGCTCAGTGTCACCGTGCACGTCTCCCTGCTGGCATTGAACATGTGCTGGGCCGTGGAGCAGAAGCTCTCAAAGAAGGACACGTTGGTGCTGGCGGCTCTCCACTCCTCCTGCAGGGACAGACAGGGCTCAGCATGGTCCCCCCAGCCCCAGGAGCATCCCATTCCCATCCCATCATCAGGGATGCTGTGTCCATCCCCATCCTACCCCATCACCTCGGGTAGGGTGTCCATCCCCATCCTGCCCCATCCCCAGGGATGCTGTGTCCATCCCCACCCCATCACCAGGGATGCTGTGTCCATCCCCACCCCATCACCAGGGATGCTGTGTCCATCCCCACCCCATCACCAGGGATGCTGTGTCCATCCCCACCCCATCACCAGGGATGCTGTATCCATCCTACCCCATCACCAGGGACGTTGTATCCATCCCCACCCCATCACCAGGGATGCTGTGTCCATCCCCATCCCATCCCCAGGGATGCTGTGTCCATCCCCATCCCATCACCAGAGATGCTGTATCCATCCCCATCCCATCACCAGGGATGCTGTATCCATCCTACCCCATCACCAGGGATGCTGTATCCATCCCCATCCTGCCCCATCCCCAGGGATGCTGTGTCCATCCCCATCCCATCATCAGGGATGCTGTGTCCATCCCCACCCCATCACCAGGGATGCTGTGTCCATCCCCACCCCATCACCAGCGATGCTGTGTCCATCCCCATTCCATCACCAGGGATGCTGTGTCCATCCCCATCCTGCCCCATCACCAGGGATGCTGCATCCATCCCCATCCTACCCCATCACTAGGTATGCTGTTTCCATTCCCATCACATCTCATCACCAGGGATGCTGTATCCATCCTACCCCATCACCAGGGATGCTGCATCCATCCCCATCCTACCCCATCACCAGGGATGCTGCATCCATCCCCATCCTACCCCATCACCAGGGATGCTGTGTCCATCCCCATCCCGCCCCATCCCGCTGCACTGCCTGGAGGCTGCCCGTCATTTCCAGGGAACAGGAAAGGTTTAAGAGGAGTTTCTATACAAGAAGCCAAGCTCTTGGCTGACTTTCCTCACTGGGGCCTTATCTGGGAGCTGCAGCTTTTGGCGTTACAGGAATAGCAGGTTCCCAAGGGAAGTGGGGCAGGGAGGACCAGGGGCCATGGTGGGAGCAGGATAGGGCTGTGCAGCCATCCCTGTGCCCCCACGGGCATCTGTAGCCATCCCAGCCACCCACATTTCTACCCTCTGTCCCCGCCAACATGGGTCCCTGTCCTCCCCAGAGCTTCCCCATGGCTCCGCAGAGGCAAGAGGAAGAGTTTTCATTTCAGATAAACTGGAGCATCGCTGGAAGGGTTTAGCCTGGACATAGCTGGAGGGATGGCAGAGGGGTGGATGGAGCCTATTTTGCCTCTGAGATGTTCCAGAGGCTTTTTGCATCTGCTTGATGCTTTGTAGCAGCTGTAGAGACAATCACCAGCTGCATGCACAGGTCCTGTATGTGGTGATGCTGTATGTACAGCTCCTTTAGAATCCCAGACTGGTTTGTGTTGGAAGGGACCTTAAAGCTCATCCAGCTCCAACCCCTGCCACAGGCAGGGACACCTTCCACTAGAGCAGCTTGCTCCAAGCCCCTGTGTCCAACCTGGCCTTGAACACTGCCAGGGATGGGGCAGCCACAGCTTCTCTGGGCACCCTGTGCCAGCGCCTCAGCACCCTCACAGGGAAGAGCTTCTGCCTAAGAGCTCATCTCAGTCTCCCCTCGGGCAGGTTAAAGCCATTCCCCTTGGCCTGTCCCTACAGGCCCTTGTCCAAAGCCCCTCTCCAGGTTTCTTGCAGGCAAATCCCACCCAGTGATGCAGCTGGGATGGTGAGGACTCAGTAGAGGAGCCAGAGGGTAGTTTTTCCCTGTGCAAAGTGAAAGGACAAGCAAGGGCCATCAGTGTTCCCCAGGGACAGCCAGGGCCTCACAATGCTGAGCTCACCCTTGCACTGTGCCTAGGACCGGTCTTCCGCCCCGACCAAGTGCATCCTGTCTCCACCGCTGCTTCCCAGATGTTTAGATAAGATGGGGTGAGATTAGATACCTTCCTCATCCAGGCCTCTCCCACCCTTGCAGTGGAGCAGGTGGGATGCTGATGGATTGGAGTGAGCAGGACAAAGCATGGATGGTTTGGATGGGGCTTGGAGCAAGCTGCTCTGGTGGAAGGTGTCCCTGCCCGTGGCAGGGAGTTGGAGCTGGATGAGCTTTAAAGTCCCTTCCAGCACAAACCATTCCTTGACTCCATGAACCCTGCTGCAGCCCTGTGCCAGGGCAGCCCTTGGGCAGCAAGACAAGACCTTAGTGTGGCAGCATCCCCCTGAAAGCTCATCCCCAGCAGGACAGGGAGGAGAGGGCTATGGCTCAGGGCAGTGCTTTTATCATCTTCGAACGCTGGGTTGTGCTCCTACGCTTTAAACATCCTCCGTTTTATCAGCCCCTGCCTGTGCTGCATTTTCTGCTCAGCCCGAAAAGCCTCTCTGCATCCCCCTTCCCCAGGTTCTGCTGCAGCTCTGCCTTCACCCAACCCTTAATAACGCACTTCTCCTCCTACCACCCCACAGGGGAAGAAAACCCCCTTCAAAATGCATCTTTCTGGGGTAGGAAGTGAAATCAGATGCGAGGCTAAAACCCAGCTGAGCACTGAACCCCTTTGCAGTGGGCAGAGCCTAAACCCCTTCAGAGGCTGATCTGGAGAGATCTACCCTTTCCAGGGAAGGAAAGGGCCATGGGGGACCCCACTGCCTCCATCAGGGATGCCCCATCTGCAGTGCCCCGACCCTGGCAGCTCTCCCATCCCATCGCCGGAGCCGCTCGCATTCCTTGGCCCGAGTTGAGAGGCGCTGCCGAGCAGCTCGAATCCGGTTCCCACACTGGCGGGGCCCTAAAACCAACATCCCCGAATGAGGTAACGGCACTTGAGTCAACAAAGCAGCCCCGGCAGCTGGACGGGGCGAGGGGACCGCGACCCTGCACCATGAGGGGTCCCTCTGCCTGCTCAGGGACCCTCCTGCTGGCCCCACACTGGTTGCTGTCACACAGCAAATGCCCTTGGGCACGGGTCCGGGTGGTCCCACTGTTGGTTTTGCATGCCCTGGCTGGAGCAGGCTCAGCATCCTTCAGCTCAGCTCGCTGGGCACATCCATGTCCCTGCCTGGGACACGATGGAAGAGGAGGACGGCTCCCTGGCCTGAAGCATAGCTTCAAAGACACCAGCCACCCCAGAAATCACAACCTCTCACTTCACTTAACACATTTTGGGGTTGGGATGAGGAACACAGCATCTATCTATCTATCTATCTATCTATCTATCTATCTATCTATCTATCTATCTATCTATCAATGAATCAATCAATCAATCAATCAATCATCTATCCTTCTGTCTACCCTTCTATCTATCCATTGTTCTATCTATCTATCTATCTATCTATCTATCTATCTATCAATGAATCAATCAATCAATCAATCAATCAATCATCTATCCTTCTGTCTACCCTTCTATCTATCCATTGTTCTATCTATCTATCTATCTATCTATCTATCTATCTATCAATCATCTATCTATCCTTCCGTCTATCCGTCCATCCATCCATCCATCCATCCATCCATCCATCCATCCATCCATCCATCCATCCATCCATCCACCCACCCACCCACCCATCCATCCATCCATCCACCCACCCACCCACCCATCCATCCATCCATCCATCCATCCATCCATCCATCCATCCACCCACCCACCCATCCATCCATCCATCCATCCATCCATCCATCCATCCATCCATCCATCTATCCATCCATCCCAAGGCTGGAGCACCTGAAGCAGCAAACACCCCACTGAAGCTACACTTGTGAGCCACACCTTGGGAAAGTCATCCTATGGAATGCAAGACATCAAGCTAATAAGTTTCATTTAGAAACTCATCTTAATAAGTTTCATTAAGAAACTTATTAAGATCCTGTTGTAATCAAAGAAAGGAGAAGAGGAAAAAGGGAGGGTGGGGGAACATGGATCAAACTGTTGCGCATCACTTGAAGAGGAAGGATGTTGGGAACTAAGCAGACCATAAAACACCTTTAGTCCACAAAGTTGTACTAACCATATATTTGAGGGGTTTTGTAGGATTTACCTTTTCTTTTTGGCTTCTGGGGGAGTTTTGGGGAGGGTTTTTTTGATCTTTACATTTACTGCAGGTGGAGAAACCCAGTTCTTGGGTTCAGTCCCAACCATTTCCCTGGGGTCCCAGCATCACATGTGCTGCCCCATGCACGGAGTTGATCTGCATTGCCCTCCTCCCTCTGATGTGGACACATCCCCACCAACACCCATGTCTTTGATGCTTCTCAGGCCTCACTGTAGCTGAGGGAAGGGAGCTAACTAACAGCATTGTTAGTACAGTGCTGCCCTGACTCCAGCTCCCTCTTGAGCACCAGGACTGGATCCATTTCTGGAACACTCCTCCTTATAGCGCTCGCTTTCCTGTTTTCCCACGGCTTGTGAAACGCAAAGGCTTTTTTCACTTTGCTGTCAGGATTTGGCCAGAGCCTTGTTTACCGTCCCTACAAAGCAGGGAAACCAGATAGTGCCACTCTGCTATCTGCTCGGCTCGGGAGGCATCCGAATCTGTTGGAGCTCAGGAATACACCGAGTGGAACATTAACGTTGAGCGGGTGGGAGGTGTTTTGGCAGCCGAGGAGCGCGATGCGATGGGAGGATGCACCCTCGCAGGCTGTTTCAAGCTGTAACTGGCATTTGGTACTAACAATGCTTCGGGTCGTGATTGATTGTGCCCAGAGGAATTTGAGGGAAGCAGGGCAGCAGACTCGCTGGCTCGCCAGCACCCAGCGGAGCGGGCAGACAGGAGGGATGGAGGATGCCAAGCTGTGATGTCTGCACAGCGCTCAGCTCGGAAACACAACCAGTGCACTGGCACTTCCCAGCCAAACCATCCCTGCTGCCAAAAAGCCTCCCAGCACAGCTCCAGTGAAGCCATGGGGAGGAGAGAGCAGGTAGTGATAGAACAAGGGGGAATGGCTTTAACCTGCCCGAGGGGAGACAGATGAGTTCTTAGGCAGCAGCTCTTCCCTGTGAGGATGCTGAGGCGCTGGCACAGGGTGCCCAGAGAAGCTGTGGCTGCCCCATCCCTGGCAGTGCTCGAGGCCAGGTTGGGCACAGGGGCTTGGAGCAAGCTGCTCTAGTGGAAGGTGTCCCTGCCCGTGGCAGGGGTTGGAGCTGGAGGAGCTTTAAGGTCCCTTCTAACCCAAACCAGGCTGGAATTCTATGATGCTATGGCACTGGCTCCATCTGCACCCAGAAGGAGAAAGGAAGAATTAAACAGCAGCATGGTCATAAGGCACCCAGGTGCTTCAGGCTCTAAAATTAGATTTTATCAATCTATCTGATGAAATTTGTTTATGCATTCAATATGGAACTTGATGAGAAGCTGCAGGTTCAGACATTGCACAAAGCAGGGCAGGGGATGGTATCAGGAGAGGCCTTCCTGCCTTGGACATGGTCATCACAGTAATAAGCTCTCTCTTTGGAGTCATCCTCAGTGTTGCAGGCAGCACAGCTCAGAGCACCATCATTTCTGTGGGTGCACAGGCAAGGAGCATTTACACCAAGTAAAAGCCAAGCAGGAAGGTGATGACCATGAGACGGCAGGAGACCTGTGCTTCTCCTCCAGGAGCACAGTGGGTGCTGTCATTTTACAGCCCTAAAGTGGTTGTACTCATTTTGATGAATCACTCTCATCATTACAGGCTCACACGCTCAGGGTACCACAGGTTAAAAGCTGATCTCCAACAGCAACACAGCTGCTGTAGGGTTCTACATAGAAGTCCCAAAGGGTGGTACTCACACAGGTTTTAGCTTCTTTCAGGTACATGGTGGGCCAAGTATTTTGCACTTGGTCTTTACAGATGACCTGGAAGGACAGAAGAAAAGCAACTCTCACATCACTGACATGGATTGGAAGGAGAGTTGGTCACCGATACAACACACTACCCCAAATCAGGAGACATCCCAACCAAAGCTCTGATCCGTTTGATGGAAATGAGACAGATTTGGGAGCCCTTCACTCAACTCTTCGTATGCGGAAGGGTTTTCACAGGTAACTGACAGGGCTGTCTGCGGGATGTTGCTAATGCACTTCCCAAACCACATTTAGGATTTGCAGCATGGGGTAAAGCAGGAATTGGCTTGGACAGTGGGAAGATCCATGCCAGTGGGCCTGATGCAGTCCTACTCTACAAAAGACAAGTATCTAGGAGCAGGATCCCCTTCCTGTTGTAGCCTGTGTTTTGAGAACCCCTACTCTCCCAAACTGTTTTCTGCTAATAGCATCCATGCATGGTTTATGCTAACTGGATTCTTTGCCCTCTTGTCAAGCCCAAGTCCACCCCAAGGCAGCTTCTGCTCTACATAATGGTTCTCCCCCTCTTCCCAAATTAGACTTCTCCCCTGTTCAGCACCCAGACCATAATCCCCTTCGCCTCCATCCTCCATCCTCCATGTCTCTTCACTGGAAAGCAAGAGGAGAAAGGGGTTGGACTAGACGACCATTAAAGGTCCCTTCCAACCCAAACCATTCTATGAGTCTATGATCTAGAGTTATTTTGCTGCCCCATGTTCCCCTGAGGCAGATCTCCCTGTGCAGTGAGAAGACCTTCAGACTCCACATGTACATGGGACACCAGTTAAGCATTAACAGACACCACCATGAAGTGCCCACCTTCCCTTAGGCTTCATTACCTCATTTTGGAATGAAATGTTAGGGTGCTGGTGGCCAGGACTGCAGCTCGCTGTCTGGTCCCCCAGGGATGGGGATGATGGCTGTGCACTGGCAGGGCTCTGGTCAGCACTTGCAGGCTTGGTTGATGGATGACTTCTCTGGTCTGGGTCCCCAGTAGACACCAAAAAACAAGCAGACAGACACTGATACGGTACAGAGGATACAGGTGACACAGCTCCATTTGTGAAGCTCATGGTGCCGAAGCTTGGAGAGCTCTTTTTTAACTTAAAAATTAACTTTGATAAAGAAAATGTCTTACTGCTGGCTTTATTTTCTGCTGGTGAAACCCATCAGACTGTTGTGGAGAGGTGAACCCAAGGGCAACATAATGACTGTGTGTTGGTAGCTGGGGGATCACTTAAAAGAGGAGTATTGCTGGGGAAATGGGATAGCCCTCATTTCACTTTATCTAGAGGGGATTCCATAGACATTTCTCCAACAAACAGAGGCTACCTGAGCTCGTTACCCAGCTCTTGCAGTGAACGGAGATCACTGTGCAGTCCCACTGACAACTGCAGGCACCGCCATTAGGAGGGGATGAAAGCCCATAACCTCCGCTGGCTGCATCTCCATCAGCTATGAAGAAGCCCAGGGTAACGTGCTTAGAAGCAGTGGCTGGTGCTATGGGAGACAGCCTGGGGTGTCCTGCCTCCCTGCTACTCCCGAAGGGCACATGCCCCATGTCTACCAGCCCAATGGAGGTGCCTCAAATACCTGAGATCACCTCAGATGCCTTTGTTAAGGTCCGTAGCATCGTACAATGCAATGGAAGTAGGGCACAGAGTAAAGCAGCCCCCTGCCTCCCCAAATCCTTGTGAATAAATGGATCTCCATCCCCGAATTCCTAATTAATCTCTAACTGTTGACAAAGAGAATTAAAATGCTGCATCTCTTTCATGTCCTATTTGCTTTTGAGGCTACCTTTTGAGACTACAGAAAAGATGAGGGATATTTCTCTCCCAGACACATTCTGAAGGCTCCAGGAGATCATTCATTTCAAAGCCATCTGTTTCTATTGCCTTCTCTCACTTACCAAATGCAAAGGTTTTTTAGACCTCTTCATGCTCAACGCTTGAGGTCAAATTCGAATTAACACAATTTCATGTATCATCTTCTAATAAAGAACAGTCCTGTGGAGCAGGAGGGGAAAGAAACATCCTTCATGAAGACACCCCTTTCACCTCCTCACGCCTGCTGGCTTGCTCAAAACATGACATGGATGAAGCCAGTGACAGTGGTCTTGCATTAAGTGATGCTTAAGGCTGAAAGGGGATGGAGATGGTTTTCGAGTGGCTTCTGTACTGCAGGTAGCTGGAAATTGGGTCAAGAACAACATTGTCCAGGGGAAGTTAAGGAAGGGCCTCAGTGTCATCACAGCTTTTATTCAGGGCCAGGTGGGAGCTGATCCCACAATCCCACCCAAGTCTGGAAGGCTCCATGGAACCCTCACAGTCCCACAGTGTGATTCCAATGCTACCAGACAAAATGCCGACAGGGAGCCTAAGCTGTGCCTTAGCAGGACATTTAGGAACTAACATGACTCTGCAAAGCTCCAGAGAAAACACATTAATGGTGCTCAGCAAGATCCCAAACACCACATAGGCACTCATAATGCTGCTCAGACCAAAGTCAGCAGCCAAACCCCCTGCAGCGATGATGAGTATCCTACCTAGCTACTTAGACTCTCTAGAGCTTGTAGACTCAGAGTTTAGCCACAAAATCTCCTTAGTCATCTAAAGCTTATTTTCTGTGCATGCCCAGACAGCCTTCACTAAACTGTCAGCCGTACCAGGGATCTTCTGCAGTCAGCATTTGGGTGCTGTCAATCTGTTTCACCAGCTCTACAATGCCTACAACTCGTTGCTGCTGGCTCCTCTCTGCAGCCACTGAAGATCAAGTCATTGCAGTCAATGGTGCTTTGGGCACAGTTTGACCCATCCCAATTCAGTGTCTACGCTTTGGCAGTTGATTCATGCCTTGAATTTCATTAAATGCATTGACTCGATCTCCAGCAATGAAAACAGGGAGGTAAGCACCCAGCTGTCACAGAGACAAGGATGCTGGGAAGTCCTACAATGAGACAAGGAGATGACACCCCATAATGACAGGAAGTAGCCAAAGGAAAAGATCACAGAAAGGGAACTCCCAGCATGATAAATTAACGTTCTCATCTTCTGGTACCTGCTGCAGGAGTCGGTGTGGTGGCTGCCTCCGAGACCTTGTCGATGCTGCCGGATGGTGAAGTCAGAGATGCTTTACTAGTGGTGGGGGACGTGGATGCACCAAAAGGGGGAACAGAAATGCTGATGCTTCCAGGACTGGTGGAAAAGGCCAGTCCCTGGCCTGGAGAACTGGCAGAAGAGTGAGGCTGTTTGGTAAGAGATGTGGAGGAAGGGACACCGTAGTCCTTGAGCCCAGGGGAAGGGATGCTCCCTGGGACCCTGGTGCTCACAGTGATGGTGGTCACCTGGACCGAAAGCTGGCTTCCCTGATCTTTCACACTGGGAGATGATGCAACAGCACTTTCTATACTCCCTGTAGAGGCTACAGAGCTGCTCATGTGTGTGAGGACAGGACTTGCAGCAGTGGTGGGTGCTGAGCTCCCCAAGCTGGCTGCAGGGCTGATCTGCTGTGTGATACTGGAGGTGGCAGCAGGGGCGGCTGTTGAGGCTGTGGAGCTGGTTGAAGAACTGACCTGCTGAGATGCTTGAATTGATGTTGTAGAAAAGAGTGCTGGGTTTACCAAGTTGTTTGTTGGGGTGGCCCCTTGAAGTGAAGGGGGAGACATCGCAAGGGTGGGTGATAGGTTTCCTGGGTTGCTTACAGGGGTGGTCGCTGAAACTGTGGTGGGTGATATCACAGAGGCGTGTGTTGGGTTTCCTGGCTTGCTTGTAGTGGTGGGCTCTTGAGCTGGGGTGGGTGATGGCGTAGGGGTGTGTGGTGAGCTTCCTGATTTGCTGGCAGGGGTGGTCTCTTGCATCTTCGTGGTGCCTGTAGTCGTGAGGATCGGCCCAGTTGCTCCTGTGCTTGGAGGAGGTGGATTTGCATCATCCTGAGAGCTGACACCTAGGGAAAAGTGAAAACGCCAACATAAACTTTGAACTAAGGAAGCTACCTTTGGTTTACACCCAGAAATATAAGCTGACCAGAAACCATGAGTCATTCACTCAGGGCTTGTCTCATGCTCTCAAGACTTGTACCAAGTGCTGTGTGCTGGTATCACAGAATAGTTAGGGTTGGAAAGGACCTTAAAATCATCCAGTTCCAACCCCCCCTGCCATGGGCAGGGGCACCTCACACTAAACCATCTCACCCAAGGCTTTGTCCAACCTGGCCTTGAACACCGCCAGGGATGGAGCATTCACAACCTCCCTGGCCAACCCATTCCAGTGCCTCACCACCCTGACAGGAAAGAATTTCCTCCTTAGATCCAATCTAAACTTCCCCTGTTTCAGTTTTAGCCTGTTACCCCTTGTCCTGTCACTACAGTCCCTAATAAAGAGTCCCTCCCCAGCATCCCTATAGTCCCACTTCGCCGTGTCCAGCAGAAAGCAGAGCAGAGGAGGAGGAGGAGGAGGAAGAGGAAGCCTGAGAAACCTCCATGACAAACGTAGTCAAGAACTACAGGGGTTCAAAATCACAGGGCTTCAAAGAGGTTGGAGGGTGAGCAGGAGGGAAAGACCTCCTGGTTGCCAGCAGGCAGTTCTCCCTCAGATGGGAGGTGCACGTGGTAACCATCAGCTCTGGGCTCTTGTTGAGATTCAACCCAGGAAAGGTTCAACCAGTTTCTCCTCTATAGGAACCATGGGCTGCACTGAGCCACTTCATCCATAGATCTGTCTGCATTCCAGACAACAACCTGATCTGGGGAGGGTTGTGTTCTTCCATTTGATGGCTGTGCAGAAATGACTGTGTCCTTTTGCCTCATGTAACACTTGTATGTGATTTCCACTCCTCCAGAACAGGAATCACGCTTCCAAGGTTTGGTTTTCAGCCATATCCCAATGCTGCTTCTTTCCTCCGTGCTGGCATACCAGCAATGTATTTTCTCTTACAGAGCCTGTTTATTAGCACCGGTTGTGCTTCGGAGATCTGATGAAAGCTCTTGTTTCTGACATTCATACTGCTGGGGAAAGCTAACACCGTTAAGATGTGAGTTTAATTGAAACCAGCAGCATGAATTATTTGAGGAAACCCTGGGCTTGTGACAAAGTATCGGCACTACATGTACAGGAAAAAAGCTTTTGTGGAGGTAAGTCATATTTCCTATAAACAGGCCACTGTCATAGAATAGACAATCATATAGAACAGGTATCATAGAATCGTTTGGGTTGAAAAGGACCTGAGATCATCCAGTTCCAACTACCATCCTGTCTGTCTTGAATCCTCAGTGATGGTTGCGCCAAGCTAGAGACCAGGCATCCAGTTAGTGGGACAACCCAATAAATAGGGCTGTGAAAGCCTGTCAGAGGTTTGACAACAAAGAAGGTAAAAACCAGAAGAATAAACCCTTTAAAGGCAGAAACAATACAAAATAGATGTAAATAAAGGAAGGGTCAAAAGGAAGGTGAAGGAAATCCCCAACTGCTCCCGCTTCCTTTTCATGCCCCAGCCCCATCCCAGAGAGGCAGGAAGCAAACAGGCACCAAAGGAGAGGTAGAAAAGGCAATTCAATTCAATTTGGTCCAAAAGAGAAAGGGGCAGGCCCATGTTTTGTCTCTGAGACAGCTCCCATGGTCAGCTGGGACCCTGGGCGCCAAGAAACCAGCATCCCTGCCCCAGCACTTCCTCATCCAACCCTGGAGGGCTGCAGATGTGTTTTTACCTCTTTCAGCAAAAACTGGATGAAAAAGCACAAAGCCAGGGGTTGCTCTGCTGATGGAGAAATCTGATGGGATACTCCAGGCTTGCCCTGGTTGGGATGACAGCAGGGCCTCTTTCAAGCCCAAAAAAGCAACTGGGAGAAGAACCAAGACTCAAGTTGATGCCTACAAAGCTTACCAGTATTTTATCTTTCCATATCTCCTTAGCAGTCTTAGCACTACTCTCTTGGTAAGGTCAAGAGGTGATAAAACATCAATATATTCTTATTCAGTAAGCTAGGACCAGTGATTTAAATGGGCTCAAAGCAACCTGAGGAGCCAGCACACTCCTGTTTGGAAGTGGTGAGCCACCATGCAGGGGATGGATGGATGGATGGATGGATGGATGGATGGATGGATGGATGGAATTCAACAGGTTAGACAGAACCTTGGGCAACATGGTCCAGGGTGAGGTGTCCCTGTCCATGGCAGAGGATTGGAACTGGATGATCTTAAGTTCTTTTCCAACCCAAACCATTCTATGAGTCTATGATTCTATGATTCTATGATTCTGTGATTCTGTGATTCTGTGATTCTATGATTCTATGATTCCCTTTCCCCATTTGTTCTTCCATAGCTGCCTGTCTCAAAGCAGACTATTTTGAAGAATTATTGTGGCTGGCCTAAATGCACAGGCTCTGGTGAACAGCAGCCATGGAGATGGCCATGGGAAGATGAAATCCAGGCAGGTTTCAGACTTGGCACTCTTCAAGACAACGTGGGGTCCCCAAAACAAAGGGGACGTAGACCTGCTGGAGAGGGACTTTTTACAAGGGGGAATGGTTTTAACCTGCCAGAGGGGAGACTGAGCTGAGCTCTTAGGCAGAAGCTCTTCCCTGTGAGGGTGCTGAGGCACTGGCACAGGGTGCCCAGAGAAGCTGTGGCTGCCCCATCCCTGGCAGTGTTCAAGGCCAGCTTGGACACAGGGGCTTGGAGCAAGCTGCTCTAGTGGAAGGTGTCCCTGCCTGTGGCAGGGGTTGGATCTGGGTGAGCTTTAAGGTCCCTTCCAACACAAACCAGTCTGGGATTCTGTGAATGTACACCACTGTGGACCCACAACACGCCAGCAGAGACCAGCCAAGGCTATGGCTGGGTGAGATCTTCCTTCCGTGGGGGATCCCCATCCATCCTCATACCTGTCCCACAGATTTTTGGGTACCCATCTGACAGCAAAATTTACCTTCTCTCTCCAGTTGCATTCAACTAAACTGGACCCCTCACCACTGTGCCGCAAGGAGCCTGATGCTACTGCAGTCACAGGGCTGCACACCTTTCTGCAGTTTTATTACCCTGGGCTTAACCGCAGTTGTTTGTCCAGGGACTCTTTCTCACTGCAGCAATGGGGAAAAAAACGTATTTTATTTCAACTAAGGAACATCAAATCATGGTTTTTGGCAGCTTCACCACCTGCAGTGCAGAAGACCTGGCTTATGCGAACTCATTGCTCTCATTTACAGAGGCCCAGCAAATGCTTAATTCCAAAGCAGAAACAAACACAGTGAGAGCAGTGCAGGCCCAGGGGCCACTGCTTTCCTTCCACATGTGCTATATATCCCTTTCCAATGCCAGATAAATAGTTTTTATCTCTTCCTCCTTAACTGGCCACCCGTGCCAAATCTCGGCGGCAAACCCAGGGGTAATAACTGGTAATGAGCCCCTGTTTGCCTGGGCTGATAGCCAGGACTGCCTGATGACTGTCTCCTCCATAAAAGAAATGAAAAGGATCTAGTTGACGGAGGAGAAAACCCCGGTAACCACAGACTGGTGGTAACAACAGCCAGACAGGACAGGATTATATTTGGAGGCCCTTTAGCATGAAAATTAGTCACAAAAGATACAGTATGTCCTTTTGCAGGGAACAAATGACCCTTTCAAGCCATGAGTCCCGGAGATAAAACGATTTAACATGTGATGTGAGAAAGAAGGAAGGTGGAGAAGAGGTCCTCTAAGCTATCACTCCCTTTCCCAGGAGGAGACCCTTCCCAAAGGAAAGTGCGCTTGAATTTCAGCCAGAGTCCCTCACCCTGTTTTCCAGAAGGCAGAAAATGCTACATGTCCCTGACGTTCCTGGCTGCATTTTGGCAGGGCAAGGCGACTTACGTGATTTCACTTTTGGCCCATCATCAGTTCCTCAAATTAAGGGAAATGAGGGTCATACAGCAGCTATTGACAGCACTGGTTGCTGTGAGTCTAAAATACTTTGATCTGCACCTCTCCTCTTGCATGTATCAGTCAGAAAACCCCACACCATGTGCTGGTAGCAGGGCAGACCCGCAGGAGGAGAGTCCAAGCCCTCCGTGCATGCATCCGTGTGCACAGCGGCCAAACAGCCTGGAGGAAATGAGTCCACTGCAAAAACATGATTTCATTTCCGTATATGTGTGTGCGATGACCGTGCCTCTGATACGGTGTCTGCAATGGTGACAGCCCCAGAGTGGAGAGAACTTTCCCTTATTGCTGGCTATAAAGAAGCTGTGGCTGCCCTATCCATGGCAGTTTTCAAGGCCAGGATGGACACAGGGGCTTGGAGCAACCTGCTCTATTGAAAGGTGTCCCTGCCCACGGCAGGGGGCTGGAAATAGATGAATTTTAGGGTTCCTTCCAACCCAAACCATTCTATGATTTTATAAGCAAGATGGGCTTGTTCGTCCTCCAATGAGCAATATTTGGGGTGGTGGAAGTGCCACTGTTGGTCTGTGCTGATGTGACTTCTCCTGGACAAGGCTGGTGTAGGAGCTGCTGGGATGTGAAAAGCCACCCAAAATGTAAAAGGAAAGGAGTGCTGGTCTGTGTCAACGCAGCTCTTTGCAGTATCAGTCGAGGACCACAACTTTGAGCCGCTGTGCACCACCACTAACCACACCATGAAGTGATGCCCTTGTCGTAACCTCACTGCAGTAGATGCGTGATATTCTGCAGGCTGAGGAAGAAGCTCAGGGGGATTAACTTGCTTGAAAAGGTCACAGCTTGGAGCACAAGAAGAGAAGCAAACTGGCTCTAAATGCAAAGCGAAAGGACATGTCCCATCCCTCCTCCCATCAGCCCACCCATAGCCAGCACCTCTCCACACGCAGTTCCTCTGATTAATCCCCTGCCCAACAGCTTCCCGCTTCCTATCTCAGTAACGCCTCCCCCCTCCTTGCATCCACCTTGTTGGAACAGCTCAGATATTGGCTGGAAATCTATTAATAGTGAGAAAAGGAA